GCTTGCTCACTTCAGACATTAGGCCTAATGTGCATTTTTCTTCTTCAAATTATAGCTGAATGGTTTGCAATGATTAATTTTAAATCTAGATTAAATCAAGGTTTATCTAATAATTCTGTTGCACCAAACTTCAAACCTTTAAAATAAGCAGGTTTACATTTTTAACCCATCATTTTGATCGGATTTAAGTTATATTTAAGATGAACTTTAATCCTGTTGCACCATAACTTTAAACGCAGATTTAAATCTCAATTATGGATTAATTTTAAACTTAACCCTTAAATGCATACCTCGGGTCTTTAGCGACCTGGGACATCATTCTCTACCGTCTCCCTCCTTCATTTTTTTAAGTTAGACATCAACTTTCTTAGTATTCCTCAATCTATTAATTATAAACAATATAACAAGAAAAAACAGTAAAATAGAGGTATGGAAATGTGAACGTATTTTTTCCTGTGCAGCTACATTTACAAATCTGATGACTCAATATGTGCAATGCATCTTTTTTCCTCAAGTTTGGCACTGTTTGATACACAATAATGACTTGTTTACGGCAGGCATAAAACAAACGAATATCATTAGCAATAATTGAAGTGGTTTGAATGGCTTTACTGCAGAGTAATTACTATACTACGCAAGGAAATATAAATGTCACTGGCATTTGATTCTGGATGTGGTGAATAAGCTGCCAGTGATCAAAATATTGAATATGAAGTCATTGAAAATGATATTTTTGAGAATATATCTGAGATCGTGAATATAAGCCAGATGCTGCATGTACTGTGGAAGTGCTCTCTGACATGACAGTGATGGTAAAATCATCTGCTCAAACTGATCCCTTTTAAAGTTTCAAAAGGTAATGAAATATGCTTTATTTTATTCTTCTGTAATTGTTCTTAAAATATCAAGAGAGATTTTTGCTATTGCGGCAGTCAGAGATCCATCCGTGCTGGATATGGAGATCTGACAAAAACAGGTCTCAGAGAGGTGTTTATTACAAATAAAAATTTAAATGATAGTACATCGAGTTGGCAGAGTGCGAGGGTCGTGGCGGGATGCGGACCTGTCACTCATGGTGCACCTCGGTGTCGGACAAACAGAAGAAGTGAGGAATGTTTAACAGCAGCGGTCAGTGATGATGAGGCGAGCACCAGTGAAGTGTCTGCTGGGCGGCGATCAAACGGACAGGGCAGCGCTTTTCACAAGCGGAGACCACTACTAGACGAATCATGTCATTTGTTATTTATTTATTTTTATCTCTGTTCTTTTGTCGTAAGTTATGCTATTACTCCATTAATTTATACTAGCCTATCCAGCGGTCCCTGAACGCAGGCTCTGATTTATTGCCAGTCAAGCGCAAGCAGGCTGCAGGTACGAGTCTATAACGACTTTGATCTGATCATAAAGTCTTTCCGAGTCACAGGGCTCAAGTCCAAGTCAAGTCTCGAGTCATTGCTGTCAAAGTCTAAGTCGAGTCTCAAGTCTTCTTTAATTATGTCGAGTCGAGTCGCAAGTCATCAAATTTGGGACTCGATTCCGAGTCAAGTGACCCGAGTCCACACCCCTGCGATATTACATGTTCTATATGATTCCGATCATAAAACATTAAATGTCATTTGCATTTACGATGTACAATAAACTAAAATTATTTGACATATTTCACCTGAGAAAGGCTTTTGCATATTTTGGAGTGAGCTGTTTAGTTGACAACCGCTCGGACCGTTCAGTATGATTCGTGAGTGATTCACTTAAACCGGTTCATTTGAATCATCAAAATGATTCTATTCTACAGAAGATTCGTTCATGAATCAGCGATCGCTAGAAGGCATTCAGCGGATAACGGAAGAGCCTAAATCAATTAAATCGGTCTAAATAGCAAACATATACATGGTGCCACCATGTAACTACAACAGAAAAACATATTAATGGATTATTTGGACTGTACCGATGGCTATTCAGTGTGAGAAACAAGAGCAGCTGTGTGAGTCACGCACACGTTGTGATCTAAGCGCGTGACTTCCCCATCACATGACACAAAGACTGAAAAGGATGGACCTAACAATGTAAACAAAATAAAAATAAGTTACGATCTTATTTCAGCGACGATTTAGTAAATCATATCGGTGAGGACAGTGTACCATTTATGCGGACTAGAAAAAAAAATTACATAGTTTGCAACATTAACAACCATGCAGAACCTGTAGATGGCTGCTATTGTCAATACTCCATCGCAATGCCTTGTTAGTTTACGGTCAGTACCAGTCAGCACTATAGCTGTACCCAGCTGATAAAGGTAAGGATGTTGTGTTTTCCAATATCTCATTTCCTTTTGCATTTAAATATGACAAGACACGTTGAACGGTTACATTTTATATATATAGCTTCCCCAGTTAATCACAATACATTTATATTTTGTATTACAAGTTGCCTTAAATGTTATGTTGAAATGTGCGGATGCGTTATGCAACTAAAAATGCACATATTTGTATACGGTCATGGCCAAAAGTTCTGGCAGTGACAGAAATTGTTTTTAGCAAAGTTTGCTGCTTCGATATTTGTAGATTATTTTTCCGCATGTTTCTATGGTATAATGAAAAACAACGATAAGCGTATCATAAGTTTTAAAGGCTTTTATTGGCAACAACAACAAAAAAAAAAAAGACAATTTACAGTGTTTAACCTTGTTCTTCATAACCTCTGCAATTCATTCTGGCATGCTGGATATTAGCTTCTGGGCCAAATCCTGACTGATGGCAATCCATTCTTGCCAACTTAGTTCTCGGAGTTGATCACAATTTGTGGGCTTCTGCTTGTCCACTCGCCTTTTGAGGACTGACCACAGGTTCTCTGTGGGATTGAGATCCGGGAAGTTGCCTGGCCACGGAGCCAAAATTTCAATGTAATGATCTTCGAGCCACTTCTTTATCACTCTTGCTTTGTGACATGTTGCTCCATCATGCTGGAAAATGCACGGATCACCAAATTGCTCATGGATCGTTGGAAGTCGCTCTTGCAGGAAGTGTTGATACCATTATTCATGGCAGTGTTTTTGGGCAGAATTATGAGAGAGCCCACTCCCTCTGTTGAAAAGCAACCCCACACATGGATGGTCTCAGGATGCTTCACTGTTGGCACAACACAAGACTCATGGTAGCGTTCACCTTTTCTTCTCCGAACAATCGATTTTCCAGATGTCCCAAACAGTTGGAAGGGAGCTTCAGAGAAAACTTTGTACCAGTCTTCTGCGGTCCAATCCTTGTACTTCCTGCATAATTTCAGCCTGTCCTTGGTGTTTTTCTTGGAGAGAAGTGGCTTCTTTGATGCCCTTCTTGACACCAGGCTGTTGTCCAAAAGTCTTGGCCTCACTGTGCGGGCAGATGCTCACACACCAACCTGCTGCCATTCCTGAGCAAGCTCTGCACTGCTGGTGACACGATTCCTCAGGAGGAGACGGTCCTGGCGCTTGCTGGACACCCTGGGACGTCCTGAAGACTTCGTCACTGCAGTCGAACCTCTCTCCTTGAAGTTCTTGATGATCCAGTAAATGGTTCTTTCAGGCACAATATTCTTTGTGGTAATTTCCTTTCATATGAGGCCATTTTGATGCACCGCAATAATGGCTGCACGTGTTAATGAAATATGCTTTATTTTATTCTTCTGTAATTGTTCTTAAAATATCAAGAGAGTTTGTTTTGCTATTGCAGCAGTTATAGATCCATCCGTGCTGTATGTCCGGGTCGCTAAAGACCAGAATATGTTGTAATGATTGGCAAAACATTCATGCATTTAAGGGTTAATGGAGGTTTAAATTAAAAAAAAAAGCACATTCAATTAAAATATGTAACTGATCGAACAAAAAGAGATGTGGAGATCTGACAAAAACAGGTCTCAGAGAGGTGTTTATTACAAATAAAAATTTAAATGATAGTACATCGAGTTGGCAGAGTGCGAGGGTCGTGGCGGGAGGGGGACCCGTCACTCATGGGGGACCTCGGTGGCGGACA